TAGAAACAGTTCTTCTCGCAGCAGAGTTTCTTCATCACACATTACAAGTTTTTTTTTTGGAAAACTAGAGGCGTAGATGGTAGGACGCGAATGACTAATATTACTCTTTAACTGAATTTATATTAGCGTCCCGCTAATGAATTATACCTATACAACAAACTCATACCAGCGCACTCCATGCGCTTGTTACGTAGCCCATGATAAATACATTTATTTTTCTTTCATCAAAATAATATTTGGGATGTTTCATCTTATAATGCAATAGCAATAAGGTCTCCCCTCCCTCAACCTACCCTCTCGCACTCTCCCTACACGTTCTCTCGATACTTGAATTTACATTATGCCTAACTTGGAATTTATGTACATAATTTACCACCGGATCATTATTGCATTACCCCGTCACATTTATTCGTTTACTACGAAAGGTGCACGTACAGCGTGCTATGCCCATTGTGACGTGGAGGTATATATGGTAAAGGTGCAAGAGTATTACATACCAGCTAAATACAATGTAACATTTATTATTTTATTCAGAATTATCCTGATGTCTGGACACGAACCAAGAAGTGCTTCAACAAAGAATGCAATAAATGTACCGTGGGAACTAAACTCCGAGTTAGATGCGCAAATTGTTACGCAAAGTATGCATATGATGTAACCGGTAACCCCAATAACTGTTTAGATATTTTAAAAACCTCTAAAGATCTTGAATTTAGTCTAGAATTTTGGCATCAGTTACAGTCAAACCACCTCAAGCGTGAACACGTAGAGGTCATTATTGACTTTATTTTTGGATTCTTGATTTCAATATTCGATTCGAACATTCATTACTGAAAACGATTCTAGCTATTACTAGCTATATAGTGCTACCTGTGATGATTTGAATGATAAAACAATTATCGAACTCGGTTATCACAAAATATCGTGATTTGTTATTGTCTCACAAGCAATTATTCGCCATTAACAAATCACGATATTTTGCTCAACTTCGTCCAATAATTGCATATTTTTCTCATAAACTATTATTCAAGTATCTTCTCACATTTATCCGTGCCCCGCAAACTTCTGTACCCTTTTATTTATTTTTTTGAAGCGAGACTTTTTGCGAAGTCCTAGTACAGAAGAAAGAGGAAAAATAACTAACAAACGCGATACTTGTATCTTTAATGATTTATTGGTACCCTATCTATTCATCACCATAACGATTTTCACACCACGCAATCTCTATAAAGTAAGGCTGCGTTCATAATGTATGGCAGAGGGGGGAGGGGGGGCAGGTGCAATTTAGGGGGGATCGGGAAATTTTTTACCAGTAAAATGGGGGGTGGGTGGTTTGAAACTTTTTTTCAGAGAATTGGGGGGGATGCAAAATTTTTAGACGAAGCTACTAGAGATTACCCGGGGGGTATAATTTTTTTGGGGTACTTCAAAAGGGGGTCTTAAGAATTGTTTTGTAATTTAAAGATTTCACTTGCTTCCCCCCCCCTTTCTGACATACATTATGAACGCAGCCTAACCGGTCAATTTACTTGATACACTCCACACAGACTGCATGTTATATAAGTGATGACTACTAATCCACCGGTCGGATTACTTGCTACACACCACACAAGTCAGTTCACGACCGTTGAGGTACTTCGCACACGGCAAAGTTCCACATTTGCTTTCTACCGGGTAC